AGCCTTCCTTTATTGTCTCTTTAATATTTGATGAGATGTTCATCTCGTATTGCCTGACCGAGCAGATTTCCAGAACATAGGGTAGTGCAGGAAGTGAGGTAATGTGGAAAAGCTTGCTCTAGATCAATTATTAGATTAGGAGATTTTCAGCAAATGAGTCCTATTTATGAAAACACGGATTGTTCTTCAAATTTAGTTCCCTTTTGGCCAAAGCAATATCAAGTTCCCAAGTGACGCCAACAGTTGTTGCAATCTCTCCATGAAAATGTTTTATTCATGAGGGAGCAATGTTTTTCGTATGATCAGTGTACGTCAACAAATTATATGGCTACTAGTGAGATTACATAATCTTCATGCTGGAGCCGTGGTTCTATTTCCATGGACTGTCAACAATCATGTTTGCGTTTCTAAATAAGCACCAAATGGTTCATCTGCTGTGAGGAAGGTTAGCAACATATACAAAGAGCTGGAACACACAGAATTTTTATGTAAAGAAGAACTCTGGGCATATTAAAAATTAACCCTTGCAGTGGAGCTTGCAGTACTGAGTTGCTGTACTGCAAGGGTTAAATGCTCGTTTTGGTCTAGAAAGATATTCTCAGACGATCCTTGGTCCTGTCTGGCTGCTAGGACTGGTCCCCTCAGCCTCTTCTCCCCCGGCTCCAGCGATCTAAGGACCCATGACATCTTCACATCCATTCACTTGCATTGGATGAGAGGATGCTGATGGACATGCCACAGCTGGAGCAGAGGGGTGAGTGGTCACTGCGCGGGACCGTGTGCGTGCTCACACTCACTGGCCAATTTATTAGGTACTCCTTGCTAGTACCGGGTTGGACCATTTTTGTCTTCAGAACTGCCTTAATTCTTTGTGACATTGATTCAACAAGGTGATGGAAACATTCCTTAGCGTTTGGTCCATACTGACGTGATAGTATCACACAGTTGCTGCAGATTTGTCGGCTGCACATCCTTGATGCAAAGCTCCACCAGCCTGATCCGTTGATACAAGGCAGGATGGATCCATGATTTCATGTTGTTTACATCAAATTCTGACCCTACCATCTGAATGTCGCAACAGAAATCGAGACTCATCAGATCAGGCAATGCTTTTTCAATCTTCTATTTTTTACAATTTTGGTGAGCCCTTGTAAACTGTAGCCTCCGTTTCCTGTTCTGAGATGACAGAAGTGGTACCCGGTGTGGTCTTCTGTGGCTGTAGCTTCGAAGTTCAATGTGTTGTGCGTTCAGAAATGGTATTCTGCAGTGCATACCTCAGATGTAACGAGTGGTTATTTCAGTTACTGTTGCCTTGCTATCATCTCCCACCAGTCTGCCCATTGACCTCTGACATCAACAAGGTATTCTTGCCCTGAGGGCTGCCGCTCGCTGGATATTCTCTCTTTTTTGGACCATTCTCTGTAAACCTTTAAAGATGGTTGTGTATAAAAATACCAGTAGATCAGCGGTTGCTGAAATACTCAGACCAGCCCGCCTGGCACTAACAACCGGTGGCTACTTTACAACACCCACAGGGACCATGGGGAACCAAAGTAGCCCTCTCCAGAAGGAAGGACATTGTCCGCACCACATTATTTTCTCCATGCAGAATCCTATTAAAGGGGTTCTAAAGCCTCCGTTTTTGTTTTGCTTTTTTGCCTATAGCTACTGCTAGCAAGCAGTAGATATAGGCAAAAAGTTGAGGGGGGGGCATGCGCAGTTCGGATTCTCGGCCGGGAGACGAGCAGAGACACAAGGTAAGTCTATGGACGTGTGTACCCGCATGCAGACACCGCTGGATCGGAAGTGCCTGCAAGGACAGAGGAGTCAGCGCTGGATTGGACACCCGCCGCACCGCTAGAGGGAAAGATGAAAACGACAGGAAAGAAGATCGGATTAAGAGACATCATTTAAGGTAAGTGCTGACATTAACATTGGGGGGAGGGAATTTTTATTTTTTTTTTGCCTTTTTAATGTCACTTTAAGGTACCTGAATGTATTTTTAAGATTTAACTCCTGAGTTTAGTGTCATTATTTAATTTGTAGTGAAATTTGTGCAGACACATCCATCCCCTGTTTTCTGTCTGTGGCTTTTGTTGGTGATTGATAGCAGGTTTGAGAACTTTCAGCGCCACTTTATCGTCTCTTCCCTACCTGCCAGTTGATATGATTCAGAAGTGTTCCTGCACTTATTCTCCTTTTTTAATAGGCTTGTTGTGTGTGGTAAGATGGGATTGTGATGAGCTGTTCTTTTCTCTGAGCTAGTAATCATCCTCTTACACTGAAGTGAGGAAACAGAAGGTGTTGTTTTGGTAACTACCAGTGTGGGCAGGATGGGATGATTCAGTGGTGAAGGTCTGGCAGGCAGAAGCCGTTCCTTCAGCAGACACTAGATCATTGTTTCACATAAAAGTCTCCTTGGAAGTAGAAATTGTGATCCTGCAATTTTAAGGCCGTGTCTATAGATTAAATATACACACACTTCCAAACGTTAGTGCAATTCGGCTGCGACATGTCACCATATATCATAACGGTGTAACTTATTAGAAAAGTTTGCCCCTTTTTATAATTTAATATGGAAGTAAAGTTTAAAAACAATTGCTAGGAGGTAGAGATTTTTGGTAGAAGACCTGCAAGGTCTCCTTCTGCCATCTCTAAAATGCCGTCAATCAGCCTGATGCCAGGGAGGCTGTAGCTCTTGTGCGCATGCGCAGAAGTTACATCAGTGGGCACCAAATGACCGAAGAGGATGCCTGGGAACCTGGAGGGGACAGAAGATGCATCACACAGTTCTGAAAAGGAGCACACTTGTAAGGTAAGTGTGCCATAATGTGTAAGAATTCTGTGTATACTAATTATGGCAAAAACACAGTGGTTTTGCTAATTTCAATGGGGGGGTGGGGGGGGGGGTAAAACTCGTACTCGCCCAAATGCTCCGATGCCTTTCCTGATACTGGAACTTCCGATCAGTGGGAGATTTCCTGACCGGCAGTGCCACAAGGGAACATGGAGCCGGGAGGCTGGCTCCATGCCGGCTTCCCAGCCAATCAGTGTCGAGTCGGGCAAACAAATCTGATATGTCGACATGAACCCCACCCTGTAGACAAATCATTCCCCTCGCATAGATCCTTAGCAGCAGTCATTACCATACCAGTTCCTCGGCCAGCTGGGCAGACACCGCTCTCCGGGATCTGCCCACATCTCTGGTTTGCACAGCACCCATGTGATCGGCCCTCAGCCTGCTACTGCGCATGCACAGAATTTCTGAATGAGAACGCTGGGCGGTCTGCGCAGCAGCAGGTTGAGGGCCGATCCCGTGAGCAGATCCGGGAGAGGTTGGAGAGCCGTGTCTGCCCAACTGGCCGAGGGACTGGTACAATAATGACTGCTGCTAAGGATCTATGTGAGGGGAATAAGGTGCCTGCAGGGTGGGGGTCATGTCACCATATTGTCAGATCTGTTTGGATGGGAAGCTGGCTTCCCGGCCAATCGGCATCGAGCCGGCCAAACAGAATGGAGTCTGCTTCCCGGGCAATCAAGAAGCTGGGCGGTGGGTAATGACACACCGCTTGGCTTCCTGATTGGCCGTGAAGCCAGCTCTATGCTACCAGAAGTACCAGTATCGGTACTTGGTACCGACAAAATGGTATTAGTGCATCCCTAGTTTTAATAGCTTTATTTAATTGGGCGACAACACTGTTCATTTTGCAGTGAAATCGCACAGTAGAGCTGTTGCCATTGGGGACAGGATAGTTTAAGACGGAGATTGTTATATGCACCACTTTCTACCACCAATGTAGAGGAGAGAACTGAACGGATAAACTCCACGGTGTCCATATTTCCTTTTATTTCCACGTCGCAGGAAGTAGGGCCCGGTCACCATACACAGCTTCCTCTGCTCTCTCACAGGTTGTAGCTGTGCTAGCTCTCAGGCTGCTGGGAGGGATGGGAAGCCAGGCATTTCATTTATAATTTAGATCTTGTATCAATCGGCTGACATTTAATGGAGATGATAATTTTGTTCTAAATTTAGAGCCCAATTTAGCCCGGTTGTGTAGTTCTTTTACAATGTGAATGTCATTTGTCCTTTTATAATTACTGAGAAGAATGCTGCTCTCATGTAAGACTTGTTTCCTTTCAGTGCGAGGGAATGCGCGGCTCGGAATTTTATAGCTTGTGTGACATGAGAATTCTCGTCTGATGTAGAAGGAAACTAAACCCAAAACATAACCCTATTTTATAAGGCAAATTGCTGCAAAGCACAACATGCAGTCATCACATCTTTCATTGTTCTGAGCTGATAAATGGTGAAATCTAATTGGCTGCTTTGGGTTACTGGAATATCGCTCATTCATTGTATTTCCCTGTTATATAAGCCAGGTGTCTGACGTAAATGCAACGATAAGCTTATAGGAAGGTTGTTGAAATAAATGGTCTGGTGACAGGGTCCCTTTTTAAAGTGACAAAACTCAGGAGTTAAACCTAAAAATACATTCAAGTACCTTAACTATCTCCTCTCTACTCATGGCAAGCAAAATAAAAACCCTTCTTTGTTTTTAAGGAAAAGGGAATCATGATATGATTGTACACCATGCCTTTTAAAGTGACACTAAACTCGGGCGTTAAACCTTAAATACATTCCGGTACCTTTTTAAATATTGACATAAATGTATCTTATATGTGTGTCACTCGGCTGTAGATCCTCAAATCATCTCTGAATTGCTGCTGACACTGTCCTTCCTTCTGGAGGGGGGCTACTTTTGTCCCCATGGTCCCTGTGTGTATTGTAAAGTAGTCACCGCTCCAAGCTAGTGAACAAATTGTGATCAAATCTGGCCAGTGTGTGTCAGGCTGGTAAATAGCCAGTGACATTTTTGCTTTCTCTCATTCCACTTCATGACAAACAGGGGATTTCTGACGCGCCTAATATTTTTGCAATGCCGGGTGTATTTCTCAATTCAATCATTCTGTATTTTTGAATGTATTTTTTTTTCTTCCAGCTATTCAGGGAAGTACGAATAATGAAGATTTTAAATCATCCTAATATAGGTGAGTTTCTGCATGTGTACTTCAGTGTTGCTACATGACATGAACTGAGCTGTGCCGGATTCTATGTACATCCTTTGATGCAAGCTGCCATTCCAGTTTTAAATACCTTTTGTCCCTGTAACTGGGCAGCTAAAATCAATAGAGGATCAGTTGCCTGCTTTAGTACTTAATGAAAATGTGTTATTTTCTGTTGTATGGTATCAACTAGAGCTCTGCTGATACTAGTATCGGTACTAATACTAAATCACCCAAATGCTCCAATGCCTTCCCTGAAACTATAACTTCCGGTTAGAGGGACATTTCCTCTGAAGGGTAGTGTCCTGAGGAAACATGGAGCCTGCTTACGGACCACTCAGGAAGCCGGGTGGCAGGTAATGACTTGCTTCCAGGTTGGCCGGGAAGCTTGCTTTGTGCTGTTTGGCCAGCTCGATGCTTATTAGTCGAGAGCTGGTTTCCCAGCTGATCCGCATGGAGCCGGCTTCCGGGCCAATAAGGAAGCCGGGCAGTGGGTAATGACCAGCCTCCCGGCTTCCTGGTTAGCCGGGAAGCCGGCTTAATTCTGATTTGCCGGGAAGCTGGTTTTCCGGTTAATCAACATCGAGCTGGCTAAACAGCCTGCTTCTCGGCCAAACAGCATGGAGCCGGCTTCCTGGGCAATCAATGACACGCCACCCGGCTTCCTAAATGTTCGGGAACCCGGCTCCACGGTAGCAGAAGTACCAGTATTAGTACTCTGAATTGCCAAGTAGCAAAATAAAAATACCTGTACACAATACCGAAAAAACGGTATCACTGCATCCGTGGCATCAACCCAACACCTACCCCCCCCTCCCTTTCATGGACATTATATTCTCTTTGTCCCAGGTTTTGTTTTTTCCCCCTTCTATTAATTATAGTCTCCTGTGTAACTGTTTAACCAGTTGACATCCGCGGTGTTAAACCCCCTTCCCATCCAGGCCATTTTTCAGTATTCAGCGCTGCGGTACTTTAACTGACATTTATTCCGTCTCGGTGCTGCAGTGCCGTCCGTCCGTTTTTTTACTACGGGCGGACGGCAAGAGGTTAAGCTAGCCTTACACCTTTTTATATTTCTCTGGTTTAACCTGGCTGAACGAGGGGAATTAATCAGTTCCCTCATTCATGCTAAACAGCATAAATGAAGGAATCCTCCTTGCCGGCTGTTGCATTCAGCAGTCCACAGGACCCGCGGCTCCTTCAACAAAGGATGATTCAAAAAAATATACATATGAACTTTTGTTGAGCTGGGTGGTCCGTCAGAACTCAAATTTTTGTTAAATGCCAAGTGTATTGCCAGATTTATTCTGTGTGCAGCAACGAGGGGAAAAGATCAGGTAATACATAATGGAGGCAACACTCTATTGCAGGGAACATATTGGACCGTTTTTAACAAATGTTCTTTTATATACTGTATCTCTGAACAAGCCCCAATATTCTCCAATTTAGAAAACAACCAAATACTGAAAATGTTCTTTTCAAATAAAAGGATTTTCTGATTCTATATAGATTCTATTTTTTGTTTTGAGTGTCTGAGCTTAATGGAGCTCATGTTTGAGAAATCCAAGGTCTTTTCCATCTTTGTTTTGGCTTCTCTTCTTATTTTGATAACAAGTTTTGTGTATTGAATGGTGATGGTTATATGGGCATGTGATTAGAAATTTAATGGGAATATTTCTGAATAGAAAATGGGAGCTTCCGTTGAAGTCACAAGTTCTGAATCTCATTTTCCTTTACCTCTTAGTCTGGCAATTATTAGTAGCCGATCAAGAAAATTGATCACTAAATGGATGAAATGGGTTTTTTCTGTATTTTCAGCTGCTCCAGTTGCACATAATTGTGTATGCTTTGATTGCTGCTTTATAATTCTTGTGTAGCTTATTCCATAGGAATCCTTTTGTTTCATCTGTTCAGCAATCACTACTCAAAGCCATCGCTGGCAGTTTTAGGACAGGCCTAACCATAATACTGGACTTGCCCAAGTACTGTAACCTTGCTTGCACAGTGGGGGGCTCGTTTGTTTGCTAAATTTATGATGGAAAACCCTTGGTGTCTCTTAAGGTGCCCATACACTGCACGATTCTCGTACGAAATCCTACGATCGTACGAGAATCGTGCAGTGTGAATGAAGGCGTGCGACCGTTTCTACTGTACTGTTGCACGTCTTTTGTCTAAGGAGCATGTTGGAAAACCTGCCGAAAATCATACGATTTTCGGCTAGTTTGAATGATGCTCGGGAGACAAATGCCGAACGGGCCGGTGTGCACATGCGCGCACTGCCCGTTCAGCATTGCGGTCATCGGAAACCCGGCCCTCGCAAGATTAGTGTATGGGCACCTTAAGGCCTCAATCACACGAGAATCATCCACCACGTACAGCTCCGTGCTGTGTGCACGACCATATCGGGCAGCTCCCGGGAAGGACAGGTGCTGCGTGTGATAAGTACGCAGCCCCTATCCTTCTCTATGGGACTATGCGGCCGTACGCTGCCCTACACTATTTTTTTTTTTCATTCACAATAGCTTTTATAAAGAATATTACCTGCAGGACTTGCCATGAATTTCTTGATGCAGGCCCTTCCAAATACAAATAGAGACTACAAATGTAGTCTCTATCAGAAGCATGGGTGGCAATGCACAAGCACATGTAACTGTTTCACACATTACCCGGGCATGGTAAGCTGTTGTCATGATCAGGAACTTGTCCTGAGAAATGTCATACAGCCACCACTGGTCTACAGGACCTTCTGTAGCCACCACAACTGACTACAGGAGGTCAGCAGTACGGCAATGCAACAAGGAACAAATGGGTGATGACAAATATTTAACACATTAATTGTGAGCAACAGCAGCATGCAGTGTATAACAAATGGTCAGATTTACTTTTAGTTTTTGTGATCAGATCGGTGAACAATGACTTGGGATTGGCTGCAGGGGTTACTACACATTTTGCCTTTTTTTATTATATGTAGTCACCAAGTTACTTGTTCGGTTTCCGGACAGTTCCCCTCTACATGTGTTCAATATGCAGCTGCCTTTGTTCTTAAATGCTAATGTAGTGAGCGTGGTTTATGGCCTTATTTGTGTACAGTGTTTCCTGGAAATCCCATTCTGAAAACATCGGGGATTAATTAAAACCCCTTACTCATAATTTCCCTTCGTTTTTGTTAAGTCCCCGGATGCTGCAGATTTTTGCTTTTGTCTTCTGTATTGCTGCCGGCAAACAATTTTTTTTTTTTTTTTCTCCCTCCCTTTGCCTGGATTCTTTAATGTCGTGGAGACCTGGGAGAAGAGATTGCTTGTTTCCTATGTTTTGGTCCTCTAAACAGCTGGAAACGCTTGATCTGGTGTTGTGCAACACTCTGTTTATTTGAACTGACTTTGCAGACCAATAGTAAAAAAAAAATAAATGCATGTCATGTATTTCCCTCTTCTCTCCCGTGCAGTTAAATTATTTGAAGTTATTGAAACTGAAAAAACACTCTACTTGATAATGGAATATGCAAGTGGCGGTAAGTACATTGACGCAGGCTGTGCTTGGGCTTTTGTAGAAGACAGCTTGTTGTAGATAAAGGGGTTCTGGTGGATAGACATTGCACTTTAAGGGCAAGTTCACACCAGATGCAGTTGTGATGCAGTCCGTTCCACTTGGCAGCTGCATTAAAATCGCGTCACAATGCTTTCCAATGGGATTTTTGGTGAACTGTGAGCAGTCCGTTCTGAAGCAGTCAGAAAAAATACTGCTTGTCCCATTTTAGCTGCACCTGATTGAAATGGAGCGCATCAAAAACACATGCAAACGCACTGGACTGCACCTGAAACCCATTTTAAGCTTTAAAAAATTGCTGTAAAATCCCGGCAAAATGCATCGCACTACAGATCTGGTGTGAACTAGCCCTAAAGGATCACTAATCTCAAGTCCAAAATTATTATTACTATTATTTATAAGTCTGACAATTTATTGCAGCACTTTACATATTGCTCATTCATCTCAGTCCCTGCCCTCGAGGAGCTTACAATCTAAGGTCCATATCTCGCATGCACACAGGGCCAATTTAGAGAGGAGCCAATTAACCAGCATGTTTTTGGAGTGTGGGAGGAAACCCAAGTACCAGGAGGAAACATATGCAAGCACAGGGAGAATAAAAGTGTTATATGTTGTAGCTTGTAGCTTACCAGTCCTTAGAGGTGGTGGTTGCAATGGTTGTCGTCTTTATTTTTTATCTAGCTAAGAACATTTTCAGCAAGTACAGAAAATCCCTGGTGACAGTTTCCTTGTCACGCCTGGAAGCAGGAAACAATGTTATCTTCCTTTTGTAAACTAGTAATCGTTTCATCCCCCATGAACAAAGGCAGGCGTGTTTGAAGTTTAACCTTGGCGACAACCATTGCTTCCCCTATGGAAGTGTAGACATAAGTATAGCCACTTGGGGGGCAGAAAGTGTGTTATTTGTAGGGATTATCTGGTTAAAAAAAAAAGCTTGAATAAAAGGAAACTGATTCCGCCACTGCCTCTAAGGACTGTTAAAGTGACATTAAACCCTCAGATTTTGTAACATAAAACAATAGTGTAATTTGTGCCTTACGGTAATCCATGGTTGTTTCCCTTCTCTTTGCTGCTCTTCCTTTTTTAAATCCGTATCTCTTCTCAGGCTGGGCAGAACTTCTGTTTTGCCGCAGACTGCCTTGTCTCTGAAATGGATACACGGTGTCTGTGTGTAGGCTTGCAACCTGAGCCAGCACTACAGGAAGAGGCACTCAGCTGCAAAGGGAAGTTCTCCCCCAGCATGAGAAGACATGAGGATTTAAAAGGAAGAGCAGCAAAGAGAAAGGAAACTACCATGGATTACAGTAAGGCACGCATTACAGTATTGGTTTAAAAAAATCTGAGGGTTTAAGGTCACTTTAAATGTTTGTTTTGGGGTTTAGATGCACTTTAATCATGAAGGTTTTAGTGTATTTTAGATGGGTTAAGCAAAGCCCTGCTTCCTACACAGTTGGCACCCCCTTTTTTTTTTTGGTATATACCTTTTGCCATGGCCACTCTAGAAGGTTAGGTTGTATTTATTTGTACAAAAATCACTGTTACACCACAAAAAGGAAGGAAAATGTCCTATAAATACAGCCCCAGTTCCTAAGTTTAGGCTCTGCAGCATGCACGTGTGCTAATAGGGAACTTCCACACTGCAAGGGTTAACTGCTTGTTTTTGTCTAGGTGCTAAAAAAGTTCTACTCGCCTGAAGCGGTGAGACCTGAAACCTCTCTCCTCCTATGCTGCAGCATTGGAAAGTTCCTCAGCGCCCTCATTTACGACACATTAGACTGCTGCAGCGGAGGGGGGAGAGAGGCTGGAAAGACCGGTCTAAGAAGCAGGCTCGGAGCATCGGATGGGTATAACTTAATAAAAATTTTGCCTGGAGTTCTTCCTTAAAGTCTGGGGTAATAAACACCCTTGAGAGTGCTCTTTTGGTCTAGGGAGCTGGAATTAATCTGTATTACTCGCCTGATCCTCAGTCCCATGGCAGTCAGTGCTCACTTCTGTCCATCTTCACTCCGGCTATGGAATGTCCCTTGGCGTTCTCACATCTAATGTGGATCAGGTGAGGTATATCAACCTTATTGGAGTCCCCTAGACAAAACGAGCACTTAACCATTGCAGTGCATGGGTAGCCCCACTGCAAGGGTACGTTTTTGATTTTCCCAGAGTTCTTTAAGCAGAAGAAAAAAGTCAGGTCAGCAACCTGCCTGTGCTGTGTGAGGATTGGCTCAACAGAAATCCGAATCCTTTGGCAGGTGAAACCTCCATGTATGTATTTCCAGTTGTGTGGGGCTTAATTTCTGGAGTTTCGTACAGATAAAATCAAAGACCGCACATGAAAACTGTATCAATATCTGTGCTGCTTTCTATTTTGCGCATCAGTTGAGAAACTGGCAATGCATGCCGTTCTTCTAAAGCGGCAGTACTTGGGTTTGCCAAGCCTCTTATAGACCGTAGTAGAAAAGAAGTGATCCTTTAAACGGCAGACTTTTGTTCTCTGCTGCGCTCTTGTGAAATAGTGTTTCCCTTGTAAATGCGTCTGCTCAGAAGAGGAGTGTGTGAGTGTTTTTGGCAGCGGTGCTCTGTAAATGTGGTCAGCGGTGTTAACGAAGTACAGGGAGAGGAAGTTTATTTTACAGAGGAAAGTGCCAGAGCAGAAGGTCATGCTCTGAAAATGGAGCTTTTTAGGCGTAACCTCAAACGTTCTTACTAAGGACAGGCTTAGTAGTTCAAAACGAGTGATCACAGCTTTTAAGACCAGCTAGGCTTATTGTTTCCAATGAAAGCTTCTTACACAAAACCCGACAGTACAGTTTGGGTATGTGACAGTTTTCCTGTTTAGTCTTTTTGGCAATCTACGCTTTCCTGTGAGTTATACAACAGTACCGTTACTTTGTGTATGTCCTTTTCCTCTGTCTATTATATGATCTCTCCCACACATGCCCCGAAGTGCCCTGATTGAGATTTTGCCTACTTCCTGTCTTGCTGACCACCCAAAGTGCGAGGCGGTTGTTCCCGTGTTGCATCCCGCTGCTGTGAAAAAAAAAACCCCTGCATTCCGTACTTTTTCAGCGCTCACCCCTGCAATCGCATTGCAACGTGGTGGTGTGAACTGAGCCCAACCGTGACGAGGCAAATTGCTTTGTGTTGTGTTGGTGCTGCGCTGGAAACATTGGTCAACGCAGATGGTGTGAATGGACCCTAAAGGGCCTGTGCTGTTGTGCTTTGAGCTGGTAAATATACATTTGATATCCGTTTGAGAAGCTTCTGAGTGTATTCAGAATTAATTGACTGGCACAGTTGACCTGCTTCAAGCTGATTTGTTTGTCCCCATAGATTTGCATGGGAACGCAAAACCCGTTTGACACAAGAGCCCTTTGGCCCAGGCCCTAAATAAAACCTGACCATGGTTTAACCTTTGAATGAAGATCTAGGTTTGACTAGAGTGGTGCTTTAAGTCCCATTGAGAAGGGAGCCTGTGTTCATGTTTAGTAATACAGTAGATCAGATTCTTTCTCTGTTTCATATTCGCTTTTCTCTTCATTTCCTCTGCAGGGGAAGTGTTTGACTATTTGGTTGCACACGGAAGAATGAAGGAAAAGGAAGCAAGAGCCAAATTCCGGCAGGTGGGTAATATGGAAAATTCTCATTGAAAGCATATACATTCCCCCCCTTCTTCCTCCTCAACCAAAGAAAAAAAAAAAATAACATGAGTGTCTGCAGGCAACGTATCAGACTTGCACCGTCATTCAGTGTGATTTTATTGTATTTCCTTAAATAGCAGCCGTGAGTCATTTACAATGTGCATCATTCATTATTATTATTTTTTTTTTAATGCTTTGGTTTGTTTAGTAGCATGTTCCTTACAATATCAGAACTTTTTTTATGAATCCAGTAGATTATGAACTGGAAGGGGGCACGCCTTACTCACAATTTAATATATTTAATCTCCAATGTTCATGATTAACAAACCGCGTGCTTTGTGTGAGTTATTCCCCTGCATCTGCACATGCAGCAAAATGAAAACATTAGGATTGCAGGCAGCCGCAATATTCTCTTACATAAGCTCTTCTAGAGTTACTTTTTTTTTTGTACACACTTGGTAGGGATGTACCGATACTAGTGTCGGTGCTGATGCCGAGTATTTGGGCGACTACTCGTACTCGCCCCAAATGCTCCGATGCCTAGCTCGATACTTCCTGTATCAGGAAGTTGGGCAGTGCGTCATTACACTTTGGCATGAGATTTGGTTATGTCACTACTGTGCTGCTCACAGATCTCCTCCTTTTTGGAAACCGGGACATGAGGAAGCAAAGCCGTGCCTCTACCAAGGTGAACACCTCCACCTAGGAACACAGTGCAGAACAATGCATGATAAATCAATAATGGGAAGACATCAGCTGCAGGGACCACTGACAATACTGGTGAATAGTCTGTTTCTTCCTGCTTGCCTTTTGGGGCTCAGCTTCCAGAGTTCAGGTCTGTTTAACAGCAATTACCCATTCAGCTATTACATAGATTGAAAAGAGACCCAGAGAATACATTAATGTTATATAGGTGGAATAAATTCCAAGGTTGGGCTTGAAGGGACACTGTTACCCTGCTAATTCTTGACAAAGTTGACGCCAAATGTTGTCGCTTGATGTGGCAGGGGAGTGCTGGTAAAATGTCAGTGGAATAGCCTGGCTCCAGTTGTCTGGAATTGCCCTTTGCAGTCCGTGTCTGGTTTTTGTAAAAATAATAATGCAACGTGCTTTTTTGTTTTTTTTCTCCTTTGCAGATTGTGTCTGCTGTGCAGTACTGTCATCAAAAACACATTGTTCATAGGGATCTTAAGGTAAGTCAAGCAAACTTCTTTTCATTGATGTTTGTGTCTTTTATTATTTGTTTCTTTAGTCAATATTTGTAGCCAGAGGAGATTTCTTCTCCAAATATTAAAAAAACAAAACTTAATTTAAGTAATTTTTAGGGATATACCGATGCTGAGTATTTGGCCGAGTACTCGTACTGATACCTGAGCTTCCGGTATCAGGAAGCTGGGCAATGAGTCATTACATGCTGCCTGGGCTTCCTGAGTGGCCGGGAAGCCGGCTCTATGCTCCCATGCCACTTGGTGACAAAGATATTGCCCGGCTTCCTGATTGGTCGAGAAGCTGGCCAATCACGCATGAGTCATTACACGGCTCCCGGCTTCCTGATTGGCCAGAATGCCAATGGTGACGAAGCATGGAGACTGCTTCCCTCGTTATCGGTGACCCGGGTGGCGAGTCTTTACATGCTGCCCGGCTAATGAGGAAGCCAGGTGGCAAAGTCATTATACGCCTTCTGGTATCGGTATTCTGTATCGGCTAGTACGGGAAAAAAAAAATTGTTACTCGTATTTGATACCGAAAAAATGGTATTGGTGCATACCCCTTAATTTTGCTTAGGCTGAGCTGCCATCAGTATTTTGCAGGCAGGAGGAAGCATTTCCGCTGTCACTTCTCTCCCAGTGATGCAATGTTGTAACATAACTTTGTGACATTTCACAAGGTGAGAGGCTGCAGTAGGTGCTGATTTGTCAGATAAGCCAGGAGCTGAGTTTCAACGGGCCTGGCTTTGGTTATTTGACATCTTGTGCCGAAAGTCTCCCGGCTATGCTTGCAGAGTACCACCCCAATGGCTTCCTAGGGGCTTGTCTACCCCAATCTCTAAGCTAGGAGACAAGCCTCATAGAAGAAACACACTGTGGTCCGTGAAGTAAAAGCCATTAAATGAATGAAACAACTTCTCCTGCTGTAGCATAGTAGAAATCATTAGTTGGTTATGTATGTAAAGAGAAACTGTTCCCTCAAATTCCTTAAATTATGTGACCCATGTTGTAACTTTCACCCTAAGCTCAGACTAACCTACTCTGGCCAAAATGTCATAACTACTACATCTAGTGTCCACCTCTTTGTATCAGGTCACATAACACATGCCTGTAACAAGGACTTGAGACACTTTTTTAGGTTGCATAGGTTTATAAGGATGATTCCAAATGCATATTGTTACTGTTGTTTTTTATTCGTATACCTCTATATTCCCGCGCAACTGTTTGAGCTCAATAAACATTAAATAATAATTAATTTGCTTGTGTGAATGTCAAGCTTGCCTCTGTACGATGACCATTTTCTTCATATTGCAGGCAGAAAACCTCTTACTGGATGCAGATATGAACATTAAAATAGCGGACTTTGGGTTTAGTAACGAGTTTACTGTTGGCAACAAACTGGACACTTTTTGCGGGAGCCCACCTTATGCAGCTCCAGAGCTCTTCCAGGGGAAGAAGTACGACGGGCCTGAGGTGGACGTCTGGAGCTTAGGAGTTATTCTTTACACTCTGGTCAGCGGATCTTTACCCTTTGATGGACAAAATTTAAAGGTGTGTTTAGTTGGCCTGCTTTGGATTTGATAATTTATATTGATGACATTCTTCTAGAACTATTCACATTAATGTGGCTTCTTATATGCTTATGTTCTTCTCACTGGGAATCTCTCCAAGAAAGAGAAGCAGGTAAACTTATAATTTTTTGCAGTGTTGGAGGATGTCCATTAGATACTTGCAGTGTCCCTGGTGGGCACTAAACTTAGTAACCAGCTCGGGAAGGCAACAGTGATGCACTTTGAAGCGGCTTGATTGACAGATAAAGAGAGTTCTCATACTTTGCAGTCCGGCAGGAGTTAACTTCGATCTGTAATCCGTTGTTGAGCTACACCAGCCAAAGATCCTTCAGCATCCAGCTCACTTCAATGGGTAGGATGCCGGTTTCCCCTGCTGTATGCTATGGTTAGGTTCATGGCCACTACGTTACTACAGCTCTGCAGGGACACAGTAGTGACATAATGGGCAGTAGGTAATAAGTTGGGATGCACCGATACCACTTTTTTTAAGACCGAGTACCGATACTTTTGATCAAGTACTCGCAGATACTAATTAACGATACTTTTTCTTAAAGGGACAGGTCACATTTTTTCTAAAGCAATACAAACTAACGCTTTAAGGTCACTTTCTTAATATTATGATTCATGAGATGACGAGGGAGCATGACGCCGGCTTCCCAGCCAATCGGAATGCCGGGCGCAGCATCATTACACGGCGCCCGGCTGCCGAATTTGCTAGCTTCGTGACCAATCGGGAAGCCGGGCAGCGCTTCATTGCACGCTACCCAGCTTCCTGATTGGCCGGGAAGTTGGCTCCATGCTCTCTTAATCACAAGTGACGAGAGAGCATGGAGTCGTTTCCTGGCCAATCAGGAAACCGGGCAGCGTGTAATGATGCGCTGCCCGGCTTCCTGATACAGAAAGTACTTGTTCTAGGTATCGGAGCATTTGGGCGACTACTCACCCAAATACTTGGTATCGGCACCGATACTAGTATCGGTGCATCCCTAGTAATAAGTGATGACTTTCACTTTCAGCCCACACTCAGTCATCTCTAAACTGTTTCTATTAGTTTGCAGTACAAAAGAGAACAGACCTGTTGGCGTTTTGAGTGTGCTAGTTACTTGGGTTCTCCATCTGAGGGAGTGAGCTTCAAATTGATCTATACCAATGTAATTAACTTTGTTGCATCATTCAATGCATGTTGCCTACAAGGTGGTAATGTCATTCATTCATGCAGTCTTAGAAGACGGGTATAATCATCTTAGTCCTGTTTTAAAAAGGAGGCTGTAAAGCCCGTGCAGCATTTTTACAGAGGAGCCACAATTGCATTCAAGTACATAGTGCACCCTAATGTCGTAATACAAATGTCAGTGGTAGACATCAGATCTTATGTTCTTTGGAATGGCATTTCCCAGTACAATTGATTTAACAAAACATGCTGAGAAGCTGCGCAGCTTCCAAGTCTTATTTGTTACCTAGCTTAGTAGATCTATTTTTTTCACGTCTTATGATGGGGGCAATCATAAGAAATGGTTAGCCTTAGTTGGACTAATACATTTTAGATGGACCTAAAATAAGCATCACACAGATTAAAGCCTACTATTTTTCGCTGGTATAGCAACGTTTTTTTTTTTTTCTGTAGGAAAAAGGTTTAACCCCTTAGTGGCCAGTGACGTCCATAGTGCGTCACTGGCACCCGGGCCCTCTTAAACAAACTCTCTGCTGGGACTCTGTTTAAACTTGTAAAGCCGACAGTTGGCTTTACAATAGGGTTACAAAAGATCGCTTCTCCGGGCCGGTAAACTGATGACCTGTGGAGGCTTTTAAAGCATCATCTATGGTCTTTTGGGGCTACTGAATTTTGTCGCAGTTTCAAGGACGCACACAATTTTTTACCTGAGCATCTATTTACTCGTTGTAACCTCATCTTTTATAGTTTATTTTAAAAAATGGGTATTGTGTTTTGGGGCACTAAAGGGCATTTTCCCCTACATTTTTGGGTTTGATAATACGTTGCGCTAATATCCTGCAACATAAACATTTTAAACTGGCAACATTTTATTTTACAGGGTCTTGGCTTTCAGAACATATATAATGTTTGGGTGGTTGAAGTAATTTGCAGGCCTAAAATGTGGATTATATAATGGGTAAAAGAAAAAAAGGTCTCGGTCACTAAGGGGTTAAACAATATAAGTAGAGGCTAACCGCCAGTGTGGTATAGTTTGTGCAGCCCCCTGTCACTGTCACTTTAGCTTGACCGCTTGGTCTGCATTTAAAGGAGTAAAATATTAATTCAATAAAGGAATTTATTTAGTACTATCAATACAAGTATAAACCAGGTGCGATTTGTGGACTGGCAACAAGAATGGTGATGGGTCTCAGGGATTAAACATATCAGGAGTGACTGCAGAAACTTGATATGTACTGTTTTCAGGACAAAGGGGAAAATGGAACGTGACTTTACCCTTTAAATAAAGGGTATGAATAAGGTCTGTGCAGATGTCCGCTCCCAGCTGAACTTTCAAGCCCTCAAGTGGCTGTTGTCATAGCTGGTCTAGCAGATGTAAGGCCAGGTTCACACCTGGGCGTTTTACAGCGCTGATCGACGAGCTGTAAAACGATCAAACAGTGAAATGCCATACTTCCCTATGGGCATGGTTCCCACCTGGGCGTATTTCAGACCGTGGAAGCGCGCTGAAAAACGCCCTACGCCCAAACAAGTACAGGAGCTTCTTTGGGGCGTTTTTCTGCGAGTTTCCATTCATATTCCCAATTGTGGCTCTGGGTAAACAAAGCGGTAACCCCGAGCCACACACGGGAATACAGCGTAGCACTTACCTTGTCCGCATTCCGCGCTTTGTCCTTTAGCGGCTGCCGACTTCTGGGTTCCGTCTCTTGCAAGGGGCCGCGTCGCTTGGAAGGGAGCGGAACCGGCGGGAAGTTCTGAAAGTTAGAGAAAATAAAGGGGAAAAAAATCATACCGCCAGTGAAACGCGTGTTTCGCTGAATGGAAAAACGTGCTAAAAAACGTGCCTATGCTACGCCAAGGTGTGAATCCAGGCTAAATCAATGAGTCGGTGCCCTGGGTCAGGTGTATGGTGATCAATGTCTGTTTTTCGTGATAGCCCCTTTAAAAAGAAACTGACGCAAATCAAGAGCTGCAGTTAACATAGAACTCTGTGGGTGGTCTTTACTGACCTACCTTTGAAAATCCATGTTTCCTGGCTGTATGCAATGTGAGTACTTTAAGTCAATGACTGACAACTTGCATATTCGGCAAGTGACGTCGGAGTGAAATCAGAGCTTCTGGTGTAGTTGTTCTAGGTTATTGGCTTATGCTATTAAAACTATTAGAGAAGTAGACCAGCCATGCCACTGGCATTTACAGAAATAGGTCAATTGCAGCCTCTTACGCAAAGTTCCTTTTTAAATGTGATTTTGGAAGTGCTCCTTTTATATAATACCCCAGTAGGTTCTAGACATACCACACCCAGTGATGGCAAAGCATTGTGATTTGTTAGTATTTTAATTTCCTACAAGTAAATATCTATCCAGTACAAAAAGGTTATTTGACCTACTAAATGTTCACTGGATTCTGTATGTCAATATGGTTGTGTTGCATCAGTCAGGCTGTGTTGCCCCTACAGAATAAAAGTGACTTGTTTGAAACTCTTTTCCCAAGGTTTGTATAACCGTCACTATATGGTAGCTTCAGAATGTGCTTTTAGTATCCAGGTGTGAGTGACATAATTCGCTTAAATAGGGTCCAAAAATATGGAGTCAAGGAGATTAATGGTACACTCCAGTCAAACTGCACGGAACGCACTGGATCGCATAAACTAAGCCTCCCGCGTTCTGGGGCGTGGTGGTGCCGTTCGTGTCATTGTCACCCCAGACACTCCTCCCGCCTGCAGTGTGATCGCCCACACTAGAACCTGTGGTACAGCAATACCCTGCATTCTGGTGAAATTGCAAAAAATAGTGCATGCATGCAACGCATTGCATATGGCGTGAACCAGCCCTAGAGGGTGGCCCCAGCTCAATGGCCATGGCGCAGCTTACAGTGCACCTACTAATAGTGCCAAGGTCTGCAGCTTGGAATCATATTGCACTCTGCTTTGAGTCTATTCCATCATTGGAATGCACTTTAGTTCCATCTGGTGTTGTTGGTTCTTCTGCCATTTTGGCTGAGGTTTTTACTGCTGTCATGCAAGACTTTGACCCAATAAGTCCATTATTCTTCGACTCTGACCATAGAGACCACAAGTGTGCTCCTGTGCCTTCTCCCACATTTTCTGTATCTGATATACTTGTGGCTTCTGAACCATGAGCTGTTGGGATTCTGTCTGAGTCTCAGTCGCAACAGTCATTGATTGATGAGCTTGCCCCTGAGTCACAGCCCACTGTTATTACTCACACACTGGCCATATACCTATCAATTTGTTTGCGTTCAAGCTGTGGGTTCAATGAGAAAAGTTGACGCGATTCCTCCATCAACAGTGTCGATTGAGGAATCACCGCTGTTTAAATTGTATTCTGACAGGTGACGCCAGCACCTGTCAGAATATCGGATCAGAGCAGGGCAGCTCATTGGCTGCTGACTCTGATCGTACAAAGATTCTCCAGCCGGCTCCTTAGACTTTAAAGGAGAACTATGGGGTTAAGGCTTTTCCCCATAGTTCTCCTTAGGGTAACGGGAGGACACAAACTAGCGTCCTCCCGTCATTCCGATCTACTGAGCCGACCTGTGACAGTCTCATGGTCACAGGTCGGCTAGAACTATGAGGTGAGTGAAAAGCACTCGCCTCATAGTTCTCCTTTAACACTCCTTTAACACTCTTAACACTGATAATGAACGCACAGGGGGAACCCAACTCGCATAGCTTCAACCTGAAATTGGCAACTACGCACTGTTATTGCTAATATGTATCAAAGTGAAAAGCACTCACCTCATAGTTCTCCTTTTAATGTTACTTTGATAACTTTGTTCACTACAGTTGCATGTTTAAGTACAATTTAAAAAAAAATCATGAATCGTTTTTCTCTTTCTAGGAATTAAGGGAAAGAGTACTACGGGGGAAGTACCGAATTCCCTTCTACATGTCCACAGACTGTGAAAACCTTCTCAAACGGTTTCTGGTGCTAAACCCATCCAAAAGAGGCACTCTAGAGGTACATGATCAAAGTCTGTAATGTATCCTGTTTTAGCTTTGTTTTTGTTTTAGGGCCTGTTCACATGATTTTCAGGTCCTGATCAGCTGCAGATGCGGTGTTATGTGTTTTTGCCGCGTTTTTGATGCGTTCCAGTTGGAGTGGTGCTGTCAGTATGTTCGCTGCAGTGCGTTTTTGATGCGTTTTTCGTTTCCTGACCAGACAAAATGTGACATGCAGTATTTTTTCGTAACCTGAACGGATTGCGAACGTGAGAACTGTAGCCCATAAAACACATAGGGATACATTGGGATGCATTTTTAGTGCAGGAGCGTACCGATCAGGTCAGCACAGAAAACGGACGTCGTGTGAACAGGCCCTTTTAAGGCGCTTGAAACTGAATATTTATTATGGTGACACTAAAGATGTAACATAAGGGGACTAGATAATGCAAACAGTAGCTACAATTCACTTTTAACAATTCCCTGTCTAACTGTAAAGATATAGATTTAAAACTGTATCATTTTTGTTTTAGCGGGGTTTTTTTCGTGAAGCTACTCTTTTAACTAAAATCACAATTTAGGTGATCTTCTTTTTCCTCAATTTTGACACTTTTGTGACCAGAGGCCAAGATTACGAAACCAATATATATTACAAAATTATATAAATATATTATAAATTATATATTTACAGTATGCAGTCAGTTAAAGCCGAGTGTCCCCTATAAGTCTTTCAGTGGCCTCTAAATGCTGTCCACTCGGCTCCACTTGGAACAGGTTGACATAACCAAAACATAAGCCAATTATTAAGCCCTGTGTATTAATACAAATATTGCTTTGCCAGGCTTTGAAGATCTTATGCTTAAGTGATTTTCTCCTTTGCTAATTTGTACGCTACCTCATTTTTGGAGGAAAGGTGTCGTGTGATTTAATAAGCACAGGCTTGAGAGCCGATGTGATATCTTGCTGGTTCATTTAACCTGTGCTGTTCTTCCACTAATTTTCTGTATCCTTCTTCCCCCTTTTTCTTGTTGCTTTTCTGTGTTTTCCATTTTAGCAAATAATGAAGGACAGATGGATCAATGCAGGACATGAAGAGGACGAGCTGAAACCATTTGTTGAGCCAGAGCTTGATATTGCAGACCAGAAACGAATAGGTAATCAATTGTTGTGCCTGCTTATGCAGCGAGGAGTCCGTGTGCTCTGAAGCGGGGACAGTTGCACATGATGTACAGGCACTAATGTCTCAAGTTATTCTTTTTGTATGGTGACTTTAGTCCACCTATTTCAGCCAGTGTTTGCAGTGATGGTGTGTTGGCTTGGATACATTTTTTTTTTTTTTAACATCTGTTCATGGGCACAAAACCCTATTGCTTCCTTTTTGCTTTTTGTATACAGATTTTGTTTTTTCCTGCCCGTGGCTGTCAATACTGCACACCACTGCTGGCAAAAACTATTACTAGTTTTAAGCAATTGGTGTCCAACCAAAACTTTTTTTGTCAGGTTTAGAGCAGAGACGGACAAGAACCTCCTGTTAAGTTTTTGTTGCTCTGTGTCCCACACTAGATAGAATTATTCTCTGCTTGTCCTGGGGGTCACTGACCAAGACTGATATTGCTGGATAATCCAAAATGTTAGTCGCCGTAAGAATAGGCGTAGTGTGGAAATCTTTAAAGGGAGACACCTATTTAACAGCTGTCTAAGGACATTCCCCGCACTTTGTTCCAGAGGAGTAAAAGAAAGTGTCAGGAAATCTCCCAAATAGGACTGGAGCAGAATATATACCGACATGGGTTTTATCACCCCCCCAAAAAAGGAAGCTTTTTGGCCTAGTAATACTTTCTAATGTACACCTTTTGGGAGGAATAATTGATCTAATATAAAATGGAGATGGGCAAATTAATTCTCAAATTGCCTTAAAGCGAAACTCCAGCTCACGTAATGAAGTTTAATTGACGCTCAGTCCTGTGAGTCTAGCCAGTTGGAACACATCATGACACCGACTGGGCTCACATGCAATGAGAAGAGGATGGCCAGTACTGGTTCAAGGAGGAAGTCTGGCACAGCGCTCTAGTGTGGAGAGGGAAAGCGGAGATTTTTAAATGGGAGGGGCGGGTGAGGACTCTAAAAATGGAGTTCTACTGTAAAGTGTATCCACAGCCAATATTTTGGGTAGAGTGCTGAAAGATCAGAACCCCAGTAATTTTTCTCTGTCACATCCCTGCCTGTGAGATTTACACTATTTGTCCCGGTGACAATTGTTGCCAGAGCAGAAATTGAGAGAAAATCGAAAACTTTTATATTGTTGCCAGAACAGAAATAAAACATCTTCCCTTAGGGGGGCACTTGTTAAGGTGACAGCTCAGACATTCACCCTCTGAAATGTAATTCCATTAAAAAGAAATATGACTGCGCCAAAATAGTACAGCAAATATACCACAAAGGTTTAATCAAGCCTCTCAAACGGGTACTATTTACTACTTAAGGGACGGGCAACTCCAGCCCTCCAACTGTTGTTCAACTACAAGTCCCATGAGGCATTGCAAGGCTGACAATTACAGGCATGACTCCTAGAGGCAGAGACATGTTAGGAGCAGTTAAAAGGAATCCCATTTTACTGAATTATAAATGGATTGCAGAAATGGAAGTCAGCATTGCTTTAGTCCAATTCCCAACTGCCTCACCTGGCTGCCGGCCATCTTGCACTGCAGGTTGCTGATTTTTGATCATCGATGTTGGCATGACCTCTTATGATCCATCGCAGTCCACCAAGAATTGGTATAGTTGAGCTGGTTATGCTACTTAAATTAACGACTCTTGTAGTGCAGTTTTAGCTTATGTTGATACAAAAATGAAATATTAATGTAACATTACACTCAGTCTTGGTAGAGATTTCACCTCACTTCCCTTGGAGAAATCCAGTGTAACAACACATTGGAAAGCACTTTGGCAGTATTTTTCACCATTCCCCACTCTGTCCAAAAGAAATAATAAAATATCTTTTGGGTTTAGACATACTATAATATACTATGTTGGGGGTATTGCTGTCACCGTGACTCCATCTGGCTAATAGGAGGAAAATGTATTCATTTTTGGGTTTAGACCTAAATAATCTATAACAATGTTGAACACTAATTGCGACTTCTTGTTTCCCTAATAGACATAATGATAGGAATGGGATATTCAAGGGAGGAAATTCAGGAATCCCTCAGCAAGATGAAATATGATGAAATAACGGCTACCTACCTGTTACTTGGAAGAAAATCCTCTGAGGTAGGGCAAGCTGCTAAATGCAGCCTATAGAGTTCACTCCATATTTAGGTTGTCTGTTCTATAAGCGCAGTGGGATATGTGAACACTTACTGATATATTTTATAACCCACGTAACCACATTTAACACATGCAGTTTTCTTAAGCAAGTAAATGCCCTTCTCAGGCACTTTCCTATTTTTTTTTATTTTTTTTTAATTTTCTTCAATATATTGAGGAAGTGTAATGTTGGATATTTGCCATTTCAGGAAGGAAGTGTTGCATTTGGCTAAAAAGATGAAAGGCAAGCAGAATTAGTGTAAATAAAAAAACAAGTACTTTCATTCTTAATGCGATGCATCTAGTAAAGGCAATAAAGGACCGTAGTCTGGAAAGTTTACCTTCCTGGACAGCACATTTACCTGCAGGGAGTTTTGAGCAGCATTTACTCCAGTAAAGGGAAGTATCCCAGCCCTCTTACTTTTCTTTACATCCCAACAAGACTGGTACAGTACATTTTTTTTTTTTTGAGGCTTCATACTGCATGTATGCCAGTGAAGGGCTTGGATTTCACTACACTGCTATATGCTCCTTTCCACATAATTTTCAAGGTAATTTTTTTGTCCCCCAGTTGGTCACATGACCGCTTTGCCTTTGTTTTTTTTTCCTCCCCCTTTTGTGCAGCAGGGGTGGGAGCATGCACCAGGTGATGTCCTGATCCTGTTCTGCATTACATTGTCTAGCAGCCCTTGCAGGGAGATTTCTGTCTAAACTTACTCTTGCTAGAATAAGAGGAGGAAAGGAGTTGTACATTCTCTGCAGATGTAGCCATTTTTGGCACTTCTACATAGCGAAAATACCTGCATATGACGTAACACTGGCATGCCTCTGCAGCCTGTAATCCTTAGGAGAGAGAGTAACAATGCTGCTGGAATTGAAGCAGTGGCATTGAAGTGTTGTTCGCCTTCTGCAGGTAGTGAGGTCGAGACAAATACTGGCAGAATCAAAAATAAAGGAATTGTGCAAGTAAAGGGAGATTAGCCGGTGCATAAATCTAGAGTTAATCTTTGAACTACTGGGCATTCCTCAGAGAATTTTTTTTTTGCATGGGGAAAATCTTAAATACTTAATATAGATATAATTTTTATAGGTGTATTTTTCTTTGTCATATGCGTAACTCCTTGCAAAATTTAACTTCCACACCAACTGATGTTACATTTTCCCTGTTCTCAGTTGGATGCCAGTGACTCCAGCTCTAGTAGTAACTTGTCACTGGCTAAAGTAAGACCCAGCAGCGATCTCAATAACAGCACTGGACAATCCCCTCACCACAAGGTGCAGAGAAGTATCTCCTCCAGCCAGAAACAGAGACGGTACAGTGACCACGGTGAGTGAACTAAACTATTCTTTCTGCGGTATAGGTTCACCATAACTTTGGGGTGACTGTTTAATGTTCCTCATCCCTCGGCTCCTTAATTTGAATGAATTGCAGCCTTCTGTTACCAGGTACTTTTGGATTGACTGCTTTCTTTAGGAATACCCTGCGGCAAGGAGACCCAGAGCTTGTGTGGATTTGCATTTTGAAGAACTTCCTAGCACTCAGACCATCTGCTGCGGTGCGCTGAATACAGAGTTGAAATGCATGAATGGGAACAGTTAACTAACAAAAGATTTACAATTCTGTCATTCATACATCCCTGCTACACTGCATAATCGGAAAGGTGGCATGATTATGCAAAGCCTTCAGATTTGCCTCATCTTCCTATTGGTTTGAATGACCACATTAGTGAGATCCTTCCTATATTTCTCTTTTTCTGTATGGCTGGCAGATCACCTTCCACTCCTCTTACCAGTGCCTGAAACATGTGTTGAAGGCATTTTGCAATGCCTTACATACATAGATGTTTAGAAATGCTTTTTTTATGTCCATGGCATTAAATCCCTATGCCTGTAAAGGGAAAAAAACATTCCTAATGCCCTCTGGAGCCAGTTGGAGCTTAGGTTGCTGATAGTAATGTGAATTTGCATATTAATTCACTTATAAATTCACCTTGTGATGCATATACCTCATTGTGGGATGCACTTGTCAACTATTAGGTTTTAGAAGTGACCTTCTCGAAGTTTGCTCTGTATCCCAGTGTTTGCAGTAATGTGTAAATCATTTTCACTGCTGTCAGTTTTACCTAAAGCCCAGAGTGTGGAGTCGCTGAGTGCTTTCAGACAGACCCAATAACAGGTGTGTTTTCTATTTCCACAGCTGGCCCCGCCATCCCTGCAGTTACAGTTTACCCGAAACGAAGCCAGACGAGCACCACGGATAACGATCTTAAAGAAGAGACGGTACAGTCTCGGAAGTCAAGTAGTAGCGCAGTCAGTGGGAGGGGAGTGACCCCTCCTAGTCCGATGCTTGGAAACGCGAACAATCCTAATAAAGCGGATATCCCTGACAGAAAGAAGAGCTCGGTTGTCCCCAGTGTAAGTGTGGAAGTAGGTTGGATTCTATTTATTCATTTCTAGAACTTCTTGGAATTAAGTATGATGAATGTCTAGCTGTTGTAATCAGGCAAAGCATTAGCACTTCTAGTAGTGTTTTAAACTTGACACCCCCTTCTGCTCTCTATAAATTTCAATTGGCCCATAACTGATGCGCTACCCCCACTTACCAATAGGAATGTGTGGTAGCCTGGGTAAAGCCAGGAATTGCCTGCGTTTTACCCAATCAGAATGGGCCCAACATTCGGTCAATTTGAGATTACTGAAAACCGCTTCCCTAAGTGGCTTTTTTAAGGAGACATTAAAAAGGAAATGACAATTTTTAAACAAATTTTAAAGCCAATTTCCACCTTTTGCGGAGGTATTTTTAAACAAAAAATCATATGCTAGCAATGTAAATGGTGTACATGAAGCAGGCATATGCAGTTGCTGTATATGTTCAAATAAACTTCCTTTTTTTGGTTAGCTTTCCTCTGTCTTCATCTTTTGAAATGGTGGCCTATGTGCTCTATGGGTCCAAATTGAACAATGTACTCTAGCTGTAAGGCTACCCGAGTTCAACCATAGGACAAGGATGCCAATCGCATCCCCTGATAAGTAGATGAGCACTGGAAGCAGCGTGTAAAAAATCTACATTAAATGGCCAAAAGTACATGGGAGTATAAATTGAGTTCAGGTATTCCTAGTAACGAGCACTTTTAATCATTTAGGAAATTTCCTTTAATAGCCTTTCCTACTTTACCTAGGTCAACAGTACAATAACTTTAATGAATACCTAAATAAATGAATACGCTTCCATTGAAGTTAAAATTTAATCTTGCATAGAACAGTGTACTGTAGGGCTGCAACAACTAATCAATTTTATAATCGATAATGAGAGTAGTTGGTAATGGTTCTCATTATCGATTAGTTGGAGGGGAGAGGGAGATTTTTGTTTAATGCAACTAATCGATTAATTAAAGGAATAATCGGGCAACTAATCGATTATGAAAATAATCATTAGCTGCAGCCCTAGTGTACTGCCACTGCAAAAGTCAACTTTAATTTCTGATCCTAGGCTGTTATATGCTGTTACATTTGTGTATCGCGTGTATATCATTGTACATTTTGTTTTTCCTACAGCTTAACTTATCACACCAAATATTTTTCTAGTGTTTAGGTTTACTGGTCCTTTTAGGCCCCATTGGTGGTGAATGGATTATTTGTCACAGTGTGCCAAAATCTTGTGCTTTTTACGTGACCCTTCTTGCTGTGGGAAAACTGTGCAGTGTTATGGAACTGACATTTAAACAGGATTAGATTGTGTTGCTGCCAAGAAATGCCCCTGGTAGAAAGTGTAAATGTTAAGGGTCACCGTCTAGGTCACATCACAAGATGAAGGTGCAGGAAAAAAGATGTGTATGAAAGTGTACGATTTGTACACAAAACTCCAATGTATTTTTTCTGTTTCCCATCAGAGTAATTCTACATCCGGGGGAATGACCCGTCGGAATACTTATGTTTGCAGCGAGCGTGCTTCAACCGACCGACACTCTGTTATCCAAAACGGCAAGGAGAACAGGTATAAAATATAAATTGGGCTGTTCTGGAATATCACGTGCATGATCTATGTGAGGCTTTGCAATGGTAAAACATATTTAAGTGTTTAGATTCTTTGCTGGTATTCCTATGTTATCCTAAGGTTGTGTTGATTATTTAATGGCAAATTGTATTGTTTTATCCTGCTTAATGTCTTCTGGCATCCCGTGATGGTATTAAATCTGCTGCTACAATACTACATGCCCATGTCATAGTTGTTACAGGTAGAAACTATATTGTAGTTTGGAATCCACCAGAACTGGTTTTATTTTCTAATATCTGATTGGGCTGGAAATGCTGATATATAGATGGATATTATAAAGAGCGTACAGCCGCCTCTCTGCAATAGTAAGGTTATAGAAGAGTGGATATTTATTATTATTATTATTATTATTATTATTATACAGGATTTATATATCGCCAACAGTTTGCACAGTGATTTATAATATAAGGAAGACATTACAATCGCAATACAATTCAAGACAAAATGGTAAAGAGGGCCCTGCTCGTGAGGGCTTACAATCAACAGGAACAGCATGGGTCACTTTAAATAGGACCTTCTTGTAAATCTTTTTAATCCATGATTCCACATTCTAGTGCATTCTCCATTTGAATATACAGATAGCTCACAGAGTGGAGATACAATTAGCTGAGCTGTTATGGCGTAAGTGGGAAAAGCTCCTTTGCCAGGGTCTTAGAAATTAACAATGAGGATGCATTTAGCTGCTACGCAGCGTGTATTATACCCCCTTCGTTCCAGAAAATAGTTTCCCACATATCCTGCAACGGGGAGCTCTGCTTTGAAAGAAGGGGTGTAATACACTCTGCAAAGCATCCTCGTTGTTTCTGGGACAGAAGGGGTTTGTTTTTGTGTTGTCACTGAGGTTTTTTTTTTTTTTTTAGGCCCTACAGTCTCCTTAAATGCCCCCCTCCCAATTCCAGCAACAGCCTTTTTACGTAGTGTTATGTAGGTCAGTACGTGTTGTGGCGCTGGAGCGGAAACTTGCATAATGTTGCTTGACGCGGCACAGAGATGTCAGTGAATCGAAGCAGGCAGGCCGTCTCACTGCCTGTGGCCATGGGCTGACAGTGTTAGTTCTCAGCTTTAGAAAGGCAAAGTGGTTTAAAGGAGGACACCCTCTCCTTCAATCCTTATTCATTGCTAGCATCTCAGGGAGCTAAGGAAGTTCTACACACGACTTTTACCCCTGGATGGATAAGCTAGAAGATGGAGAATGCCTTGGAGAGTGTGCTGTATGTACGTTTTAAAAAAATGATGTTTAACAGCATAGCCTATATCTCGATGGCTGTCCTGGAAGATTCCTGGAAACAGAGTTATCAGGTAATCAACTCATGTTTTTTTTTCTTAATCTGTAGAATATTCTGCTCTTTATAATGTGAGCCTGTTTTATTGGTCCATTATACTGTTCTGTCTGCCCAAACCTATTCCCCCTTCCCCATCGCAGCCTGACAGGAATTTTCGCTTATGCAACTAGTCCTGCCTCAGTATGCGCCATATCCTCCATCTTTGCTCGGCTGCGGCATCCGAAATCTATGTCCATGTCAGCCTCCAGGCATTCGGAGATGTTACCGCCAATTGCCAGTGAAGCAGATAACTTCGAGCCTGTGTAAGAAAAGAACATGCATATAACCCAATAAACCAAATCTACCCCTCCCCATTCAGAAAGTAATGTCAAACTAACCTGTACCTCACGGTCCCTTGGTGTTGGTCTGTCTCCCAGTTGTAATACAAAGACCAGGTATTGTATTGCTTGCTGGGTCATTATATATATATATATATTTGTGTCTTCCTTTCTTGTACCTAAAGGTGTTTTTAAATGTTGTTCATAGCAACAGTGTCATCTGTGGACTCCTAAAAATGATCTCTCTCTTCCTGCCATTACAGCATAATTTGTTTGTGGACAATAAGAGCTCTACCCAAAGTTGTTAAAGTTCATCTGAAGCCAAACCTTTTTTTCTTTTTTGGATGGTGTAGGGAAGGGTCAAAACTAGGGATGCACCGATATATCGGCCGAAAATGACTTCAGGGAAGAGAGAAACTGTCACAGGCGGCCGGGTGCTGCGGGAGGAGAGCGCTGTGATCGGCCGGCATCTCTTCTCCCCGCACCGCTCAGCCTCCTGTCACAGATCGGCAGAGCAGTATGTGGGTGGAGACGACCAGCGCTGTCACAGGAGGCTGGTCTCCTGTCCCGCACTGCTCGCTCAGCCTCCTGTGACATCTGTCAGAAAGGAGAGTGAGGTACAAGTTTAAAAATGTTTATTTCGGTGCACTTCTAGTTAAAACCCCTGTTACTGTATGTGTACCCACTGGGAAGATTCACCCACACGTTTTGTCCTTTTGGCCAATGTCACTGGACTGAAAGTAAAGGGGAAATTGTGAGTCTTCACCAGAACATGAAGAGAGGAGAAATCTTCCTATAGGGACCTCTAATTCTTGTGACGAATGTCTAAGATGTGATTTCCTGTGCTTAGAAGAGATTTACTCTTTTTGTGATATCTGTTGGAAAAGCAGTGAAAAGACATCTCTCCAATGAGACCTAAAAAGCAAAAAACACCTGACAAGGATTTTAACTCTTTCTAATGCTTTAAAAAAAATAAAAATAAAGGCTTTAGATTTACCTTTAGTTATGGAGTTTACAATTGGCAGCTTGCATGTACAATTATACTTGCCTAAGCAATTGCGGACGTCTGGTGCAGCGAAGTCCCTGAAATGTTCTCCTGCAATCTCAGCTTTTGCTTCTGCTGCCTGCTTTGCTGGCAAGGTCAGTGGGGCAGTACCTAAAGCTGGCCATACACCTATAGATTTACTGCAGATTTTCTATGGTAAGATAGAAAAAGTGGAATGGATTCCTCCATCTGCGCTAAACTGTGTGCATGGAGGAATCTTCCGCTGGGCCAAGCTTCAGTAACTTGGTAGTCGGCCCCGCTGGCTCTCAAGACACCTGAACAATGCCGGCATCCAATCAGATTGTCCTCAAAAGAAGTTGTGCAACATTCCAATCAGCTGACCTAAAACATGATGATGAAATCTTTTACACTGTGAACCAAGGACTTCATCTAATCTTTGGGAGTCGCTTACCCTTTTTATATCTTCCAAGCCTTCCCACCATTGTCTGCCTGCGTAGAGTAGTAACCTCACTCCGTTGCAGTCTGCTTGTGCTTTGACTAACAGGAGGGAGTTGATGCATGTTAACGGAGCCTGGAAGTTTGGTATTTAACATTCAGCTTTATGGCCTGGCGCACACGCACACACCTCACATAGACATCACATGATCAGTCATAAGTGAATACATTTCGTTTTGATAAATCCAAGTTTAAGCTGCCAAACGGTTTCCACTAATGTCTGTACTTGAGTTCTGAAGTCTGCACAGCCATGGCCATTACTAGGTACTGCTAGTTTTTTTTTCATTTTCTGAAAAATTAATCTGGGGAAATAGGAAAAACAACCAGCTACTTCGATTGGGGGATCCTTTTTTTTCTGGAATTCTCAAAAGCAATGATTAGGCAATGTAAGGTTCAGTCAACCAAAATTCCACCTGTAAATGAAATACCACATACGATGTAGGGACCTCAAGACAAATTATGCTGTTTTTAATGACAGGTTCATTTTAAATTGCTGTTACTTATAATGTGTGTTATAATGCAGTGCGGTAAGTCTTAACACTGCAGCGTCGTGTACTAAATTCTCCTGATACTGTGATATGTGACTGTGTACATAACCTTTGTGGTTCTTGTGAAATTCCAGCCTGCATTCAGTTGTCTTCCATTATCTTCCATTGGCTTTCACCTGTTTTACTTCTAAAGCATCTGATGTTTCTCTCCATTACTCCTCCCTGATCTCAAAGGCTCTCCCTGTTAAGGCTGCATTCACATCTATGGTAACATTCTAGTACGAGATACACACATGGCTTTGGTGTTTGAGCCAGAGTGACATTTAAAATTCCAAATAAAATTACGTAAATCCCATCATGAAATACAGCTTTGTAGCAAGGGTATAAAACCATGTACCTAGATGTGTATGAACCCCTGTGAGCAATAAGCCTGAAAAACTTACATTTACAAAACAACACTGCTAATAACATTCATAAATGTGTACGGAAAGTTCCTTGGGATCCTTAACGCTTAATGGAATGCAGTGTCCAGAGATGAGTAATTTCCATTAGAGTTTTGGTGTATAAAACCTGAAAAGGTTTGTGAACAAGACCAACATCTAATAGTCTTTTCCTATTGTAGTTAGAGAACTAATATCCCCATGTTCCTTTAAAACTTAGTAGCAACCTATAATTAAATGAATACTACCTGACCGCCACAATAATATATTCACCTTTGGACAACCAAGTCGTGCCTTGCCGATCGTGGATGGGCAGGAAATGTGAGGCGGGGAGGAGGTGCGGCGCGTGGAGCGTGGATGCGAGCGGGTCTGGCAGCGTCGAGCGTGAGGTGGGGAGGAGGTGAGGCGCACAGCGTGTGGAGCTGTGAACAGTGCCAACTGATCGGAATTCGATTAATCGATTATTGAAAAAGTTGACAACTTTTCCAATAATCGATTATAATCGATTATGTCGATTAGTTGTTGCAGCCCTAGCAGGGACTTAAATCCAGAGATCTCGCTGTTGGAGCCTCTAAAAGGTCTTGGACTTTGGTGGGCAATTCAGTCCAATGACATCAACCAAATAAAATTAAATGTCTGATTTTGGGGTACTAGAGCATTCATGGGCCTAAATACTTTTGGGTGAATGGCTTCCTCATCCGTGGTGTGACCCCAAAATGTGCACCTGTGTTACTGCTGCCTTTTTTATTGATCATTTGGCAATCGTACACAAGAAGGTGGAAGTTTTCAAAATGTTTTTAAATGGCTAAATAACTGGATCAAATCTAGATGTGTTATACTCGCCTTCACGTCTGCTTTAGTCAGTGTACCATCATTATTGGTTTTGTTACGTCCAATCTTAAGATCGTATTGAAGCACCAACAACACATCCCTATAAACAGTGCTCATTAGGTGGTTTGTGATATGAAATGCTTTAAGAGAGCTATGGCCCAACCTTTTGTGGCCATTGTTCTCTTTAGGGACACAGGAGGACATTTTAATATGTCCTGTGACACAAAACTCTGAATATAGCAGGCTATTGCCTGCCATTTGCTGACAGCGCAGAGCCACACTGCACTCAGGAGAGATTGCGACAATTTTGTCAGGATCCAGCCGCCCCCTGATTGACAGTTGGCTCTGCCTCCCCCGTCCATCCCTCCAATGAGCACTGGAGGAACGAAGAGGGGAGGGGGGAATCCCTGCGGGGAGTGGTGACTGACCGTCACCAGTCTGCATAGAGAGGATTGTCAACTCGGCGGAATGTGATCGCTCAGTTCTCGATCTATAAAGCCGACATGCGACAACTTCAGTGTCGCACGTCGGCTTTAATTATGGGGATGAGTGCATTTGAGTCTCCCCATAATTCTCATTTAAACACGTGATAAGTTCATGGATCTTTTCCATAAACATTTATGAATGTCATAGTGTGGTATGAACATACATTTTAATGAGTTTATTGCGCTTAAGAGCCAAACCGCACTTTTTCTGTAGACCATATGCAGCAAAGACTTTAATCATGTTTGTCCTCACAGCACAATGCCTGATCAGAGGACATCAGTCGCATCAACGCACAGCATAACAAGCACCACTACTCCAGACCGCATGCGATTCCCCAGAGGAACCGCCAGCCGAAGCACTTTCCATGGCCAGCTCCGCGAGCGGCGCACTGCTACCTACAACGGACCACCCGCCTCGCCCAGTTTATCCCACGAAGCCACACCTCTGTCACAGACTCGAAGTAGAGGCTCCACCAATCTATTTAGTAAATTAACTTCAAAATTAACAAGAAGGTAAGTTGCTTTGGTGGTTTGAGGAATGTTCCTTCCCTCGTCACACACTGCGTGCCATCACTCACTAAAGAGAACCTTGGGTCGTGGAGTCCTAACTTCTTCTGTTATATTTTTTTTTTTTGTAACTGTATATTTTTGTGCCATATTATATGGTTACATTCTTCTTTGTATTTTCTTTCCGTTGATTCGACTTTTGTTTTTGTAAATACGTCAACACATCCCAAAGGCTTAAAGAGCAGCTTAAATTAGAGAAATCTGCTTTATTGTATATTGCAGAATCAGTCCGCTGTTTCCGAGTGTTTTTTTGCGCTACGGTTCCCAACGTAAACCTTTTAGACTTTATGTAACGTTGTGGGACTTGTGCAAGAAAGACCGTCGGAACGGGCCACTAAAAAGTTTGTGGGGTTTTTTTTGCCTTTTCAACACTATTGTGGTCCAGAGTGAGGATGGCAAACGACCTCACCAATAGCTTTAAAGAACTCTGTAGTGTGTAGTTCTGGTGTGTAGTTGTTGAGTGAGTAGATAGTAGGATATGGGTTCTGTGGGGTGGATTTATTAAAAAAAGAAATCCTAAAATGCTAAAGAAACGGGTTCATGTTGCCCATTGGATCCCGATCAAGCTATTTTATTATAGTTTTAGGCACTTTATCTTTTTTTTTCCCCTCCGTTTTCAATAAATCTTGCCCTTGTGTGAATCCTACCTGAGGTTTAAAAATCAGCTACACTTAACAAGCAGTAAATGTGGGTTGGTTAGATCCTGTGCTTCACTTGATCCTTTTGTCAGCAACACTTACTCCTTCTACTTATTGCTCCTGCCCTTCGCCTTTGTGGCTATCGGTGTTTTTTGTTTTGCTGGTAAAGCCTAGGGTTTCTAGCTTTCCATTCAACTCTGCACTAATGATAGTTGTGGGTCCATCCCTGTGTTTCTACATTGCGGGAAGTACCGGAACACGTTCAAATTCCATCTAAAGCCAAACGTTTAGTTTTGAATAGAGGGGAAATCTTCCAATGTTGACAGTTGTCCCAGTGACCACAAAGAGGGTATTCTTCACTTTGGAGAGATTTCCTCACTTCCTTGTTGTGTCTGAAGGCAAATCTCCTGAATGGGACGTAGATGACAAAAAAAACCTGAACAACTTAATGGGTTTTAACCAAGGCTGCACCGATGCTGGTTTTCCGGTATGGAGTACAAGTACCGATTTTAAAAAAACAAACAATTTGGTACTCGATAAGAAAATACAGATACCGGAAGTCCTATTAAGGAAGCCAGGCAGCGTGTAATGACTCGCCACTCGGCTTCCTGATTAGCATGGGAGCAGTCTCCATGCTTCCTCGTCACCAGGTGATGAAGCATGGAGCCTGCTTTCTGGCCAATCAGGAAGCCGGACGCCGTGTAATGACTCGTTGCCCGGCTTCCTGATTGGCCGGAAAGCCCGCTTCATGCTCCCTCATCACCATAACATAGTGAAAGTGTTCTGTAGTCCGGGGAGAGTATAGGTGTCCATTCACAAGATTTCAGTCGGGATCAACCAGCAATTTTTTTAACTTAATGATCAGCTATAGCCAAACACTTTCAATGGTATGTTTGACAGCAAATAAGAAGTTCACTGTTGGAGCTTTCATTCTCTAAACTGCAGTTCTGTCATGGACTGTGCAGTGATAAGCTCCGACCCCAGTCCCATTATAGAGGTGGACTCCACACAATTTTTATAATTTTAGCTTTGTATGATTGTTGGCAAGTTGATTTGCACCCCAGCTTTATTCATCTTTCAAGGATCCCAGTGGCAAGACCTCTCACCAGAATATCCTGTTTTGCCCATCTGCCATTTGATTTCTCTCTTGTGGTTTACCTGTAATCTCATTTTCTGTGACGCTGTTGGCGCAATAGGCCAAATGTAAATGTATAGAAAAGGCAACAAGTGGAAAACGTATTGTTCACAACATTCTTTTTAGCTTTCTTCAGACCGTGCAGTCTTCCAGTGGTACGCACATGCTTTCAGGCGCATAGAATTTCTGACACTCAAAGATGCACTAAAACATATGTGGACACATGACCATTACACCTACTATATTGCCAAAAGTATGTGGTCACCCCTCTTAATTGTGTTCAGGTGTTTCAATAAGGAGTACTGTTAATGCATGTCTAAAAAAATACATTTTAGAGAATTATGTGCTTCCAACCTACCTTGTAACAGTCTGGGCAATGTCCCTTTTTTGTTCTAGCATGGCTGTGCACAAGGTTGGGTCTATATAGATATGGTTTGACAAGTTTGGTGTCGAACTCGACTGACCTGCAAAAGGCCATAACCTCCAACCTACTGAAGACCTTTAGCATCATGAGTCAAGTCTTCTATTTCTGTCCTCCAGAAATGCCTTTTTGGCTAAATGGGAACAAATTTCCAACAGGCACACTGTAAACTGTTGTGGAAAACTTCCCAAAAAGGTGGAGTTGTAGCCGTAAATAGCCATGCTAATCGGCATGATCTTTAGAATGAGATGCCTAATAAGCTTATATAGGAGTGATGCTCGCATGTACACAAACATTTGGCTATGTAGTGTACTGCTGCATCTGAACAGCTCAATTATGTGCAGAAATGAAAGCATGTGCTAATGCTAGTAAATTAAACAAATCTGTGAATGAGAATGTGTGTATGGAGGCTCCTTTTATTATAGGCAGCAGATAAATGTGGCACTGGCTGCTCATTGTCTGTATTTTAAGTGACGACTGGGGTTTCTGCTAAGTGCAGAGAGCTGACATTGCTGATTTACCCAAGTTCCCTTCTGCTGTTTACATAGTATACTTCTTTGATTGAGAGATATATATAGTTATATATCTATATCTCTATTTTTCTATATCAATTTTGTGTGTGTGTGTATGTGTATATATATATACTGTCTATATATATATATATATATATATAGAGATATAGATATATATATATATATAGAGATATAGATATCTCTATCTCTATCTCTCTCTCTCTCTCTATATATATATATTTATATCCCCATTTATGTTACTGCTTGTTAAGCGTACTGCAGTGAATGTGTATGTATCAGTGCAATATTAAACCAGCTGCCTTCTATTTCCTTCCAATCTGGACCAGGGATGAAAGCACAGCCTGCTAAACCATTGAGACACTGTAAAGTATCTATGTACTGTTCCTTCTCTTTTCTTTTTTAGTCTAGTGCTTTGCTAGCGTAAAACCTGTTATATTAGTCTGTACGATCAATGTATTTAGGTTCAGCTTTTGCGATGTCTTGGAGAGCAAAACAGCGCAAAGGTCTTGTCCTATTTGTTCCATACTAGCCTTTCCATATTGTGTTCACTATGTTAGTGTAAATTCTCGAACTTAGAACTCCTAGATCTTGGGTCATTGGCACAAATGTATTTTGTATCTTGAACACTAAGGCTACCTCCAAGTTTGACATGCTAGTGTAATCTGGTATTGCACACATGTTTTGTTAAAAGTTTACTAATATCTTGTCTTTAATAAACAAGAACATTCAGACTGAAAAGGGTATTTTCACTTTAAATGAAAAATGGTCTCCAGCTTCATACCATGTTGTGTGATAGATATGTCCCTCCTCTGACATTCCCTTTAAAGCAGAAATTCTTTCCTCACCATACTGGCACCAATATAATGGGAGAAATTTAGTGTTCACACCAGTGCACTGCAGTAACGTGGTAAAAGGCGCTACTTGACAGCACATTACTGCAATGCACTGTTATGAACAGGTCCTAAAGCTTCCTTTTAACAAACACAGATTTCAACCAAAAGGCATGAAATATAGTGCAGTGCCATTCATTTGAAATGGCACCGCACACTCGTGTAGTAGCACACCATGTTGTACCATATTTTCTTTTTTTAAAGTGTTGTGTGAATGTAATAGCGTTGTGACAGCATACTAGTGGGAACAAGCCCAAATTTTATTCTTATTTGTTCGTCGAAGGACACAGGATCAGTAGAATCAGGAACCATGAGTTATACTGCCACCTTTAGGAGGAAAACAAGCCATTGGCCAGCCAAGTAAAACCCCTCTCACTTCCATAATGCTTCAGTTTTTTACTTGTGTCCTAGGGGGGTGGACATATTTTTTTTTCTAGACCCTTTTACTTTAATCAAGACTATTTTCTTCAATCAAGATTCTTAATTAAGTTGCTAAACTAGTACTCATTATGCAGTAAATATATAAATGCTGCATCAATCCGAATTCAGTTGAACACCAACACAGTAATGACATACATCACTTGTCAGGGAGGAACCAGTTGCTTTGCATGCCATTGTCAATGCCTTTGTACAAGGTGTTGATCGAGTAGTTGAACCTGTAAAACCTCCAGTGACTCCATGGAATCTCAACCTGGTTCTCTTGGCTCTTGAAAGACTGCTTTTTGAACCTATTAGAGATACCTCCTTGCCTACTCTAATTTATAAAGTAGCCATATTCTTTGCCGTCACCTCTACTAGATGAGGGTCCTAGTTGGCAGCCTCGTCCTGTCCAGACCCTCCTTCCTAAGGTGGTTTCTGCTTTCCTCAACCTGGAAATTGTTCTTCCATCTCTCTTTCTGGTCTGGTTAGAGCTGCTTGTGTCTACTCCGCTACGTCTTCCCTCCTGGTGGCTCTTTTGTTAGGTCTCCCAGCTTAAGGTTAAGGTTCCACCTTTTCCTGCCAAGGCACACTTTGAGATCTGTGAGTGCTACCTGGGCTTTTAGGCATCAAGCTTCTGTTTTTCAGATTTGCAAGGCTGCCGCCTGGTCTCCTGTTCATATATTCTCTGTTTTACCAGGTGAATGTTGAGGCAGATGCAAACTTTGGTCATAATTTCCGGCAGGCAGCTCTTAAAGCTGCAGCCTAACCCAGTGTCTTTTTACTGTTTTACATTTTTCTCTTGAGCTCTTATGTTGCCCTCACTTGAACTGCTTTGGGACAACCCAGTGTGTCTGATTCTACTGATCTGTGTCCCTTGATGAAAGATTAAGTAAATATCGGATGCTCCCATCTTATCTGTATGGGATATCCCCGTATACTGGAGAGTGATTGGTAATGTCAGACCAACGCTTGAACATCTTCTCACACATGCCATTTCCAGATTAGACATTAGAATGTTTCACTTAGCAGTTATGTTGCACGCTTATCTTTGCATACACAGCCACATGGTTATCCAGAAGAGTTGTTGTAATCCATGTTAATTGTCCTTTTTTGTTTTGCTACCTTAAGTTGTCAGAATAGGTTGGGTCAGTCCATTTAGGTATATTTTAGATCACCATATAGATGAACAAGACATAATACCAGTTTTCAACTGCATTACTTCTATAAAATCTGAGCCTTGTGGGGGCAAAAGGGTATCCTGGCAGGAGGGACTCCTGCGCTGCTACACAGAGTATGTAAAAGTCAATTAAAGTAGAAAACCTCTTTGAAGGGGTGTGATCTTTTATTCTTGCAACAAATGGATTTTTAGTTAATTGGTTGCTCTGGACCAAAACCGGTTTCCTATACCATTCTCCCAATATTTGCCATTTTCCGACTACTTTTGAGGTCTCTTTGGACTTTAACTTTCTTTTCCCAGGGGGGATACTCCCTTTTGTGGAAAAATAGCTGAACTTCTTTTTTTTTCTTTTTTTTTATGTGACGCTAAAGTCCAAGAAGCACTGGGGCTGAAATGAAAGGCAGAATTGGGGTTACTGGTTTATTTTGACCCTGAAGATACTTAAACTACTATTATTCCTTTAACCCATAAAGTGACCAGTTGCTAAAAGACCCATTTGTTGCTGCCTGTGACTTGTGCAAATTGGGGTTTCCCGATTGATCAATTTTAATACTCATAGAGATGACTTTATCAAAACTGTAGCAGATGGAATCTGGAGCAGTTTTCATAGTTACATATAGTTACATAGTATTTGAGGTTGAATAAAGACATTAGTTGAATAAAGATTGGTTCCCTGGCAACCAATCAGCATACACCTTTCATTTTCAAACCTTAACTGAACAAACTCAAGGGAGAAGCTGATTGGTTGTTATGGACATCTGCTCCAGATTTGTAAGCACCAGTTTTGATAAATATGCCCAGTTATAAAATGTAGGCCTTAATGTACCTCCAACAGCTTTGCGTCCCTGCTTTGTCTCATTGCTGAGTAGTTCGGATCAAACTTATGGTAATATTGGAGCTTGCCTGCTCCCTTTCCAGTTGGTCCACCACTATGATGGAACTGTTTACCAGCCAAGGGGAATGGGTGGGACAGGCAAGACTTAACATTGGTAGAGAGAAAAGAAGCTCTGCCTGAGCAGAAACTTTTGGCATTCGGGAGGAGTGGGGTTCTAAAAGCTGCTTGCAGGTATACGTCTACACCTCATTCCTGTTATCAGGTTTTTGGATTTTTTTACATGCTGGCCACTTTAAGACAAGAAAATAAGCTGCCTCTTTCACAATGAACGTCAATAAACAGACCAAAACTAGTCCAAATTGTTAAAAAGCCTTTTGAAAATGTTATTTTACATTTCCAGGTCTCACACAGTATAAATGTATTTTTTTTTTTTATATAGCCCTTGAACAAAATCTGGCGTGTATTTGATTGGTTTCAATATGTATCTAAATTTTAAGAAGTATTAAAGGTGACCTGTCTTGTACGCACAGGAAGTGATTGTAGGGGACAGGTCTGCTTAAAACATTCTGTGAGTGTGTAACTGTTGAGAAAACTACTAACATTTACTTTTTTTCTTTATTTTTTTTAACCTTTAGTGTTTGTTGTTAATTACAACTTGTCTCTAGCAATACTAGATTACTTCTGTTAACATCAATGCAAAAATGTTATTTTGTATATACTGATGACCTCAATCTCCTGACAGGAAAAACAAAAAAACATGTTCTCAGGGCCTAATAGTTTAATCCTTATTTAGACCCTTTTCTCCAGTGCGCGGCCTGACAACTGGCAGGTCCAGAAGTTGTCGCATAGAAGCCTCTTTTCCTGCTGCTACACTTTAAATTAACCGTCTCGATTTAAGCTGTCTGTTAAAAAGAAAAAGATTTTGACTTAATTACGTAACTTCCATCCTGACTTGCTTGTAACAAAGTTTAATAAAACTTTCAGAAATATCCTGTTTGTGTCAAATAACTTAGTTTTTTTTTTTTTAGAAAAATAAGTGTAAATGTTTATTTCCACAATGTACTTTAGTTATGCAGATTTCTAGGAAGACCATTTATTTTTTTCTATGCCTATTGTGCAATAAAGGAGCCCATCGGGGCCTGCTGTGTTTGTGAAATGACCCTGCTGCATAAAAGAGAACGCCTGACATTTTTTTGATTACCCTTCCAGTGGGCCTACCTCCGCACTGCAAGGATTAAGTGCTTGAGTTTTAGGTCACAGGAGGATATGAGTATAATATACCATCCTGTGTCCCTACAGAAAACTATGGCAAAAAAAGGAAGGCCCATAGTTCTCTTTTAAGCTTTGTCATCAACGGAAGCACTTGATCTCTGGCCATTAAAATGATCTTTTGGCTCCTAGATGAGACTGACTTGCCTGGCTTTTGAATTCTGCTTTCATTTCATCTCCTTCAACTGAAAATATAAAGTTTCTAAAAATGTTGACACTAAAGCAAGACCACAAAATTAAAAGCGTTGGTTATAAATTCTATGTATAGTCTTTCCCCATTCTGCTTGTATATGCTTCTAAGACTCATCCCTGGCACCCTGTCATAAACATTCAGATTTCCTGACAGTTTTGCTTGTCTGTTAAAAAGCATTTCAAGTTGACCGATAATCCCACCCTAGTCATTTAAAATGCCAAATCCCAACAAAACGCATGAAATATTTACCTGTACTGGGCAGCTGTCCACGTGACTAAAGCCTAGTTATTGGTTACATGATCTTTGCTGAAGAGAAGAATCAGATTTTTGGTAGATTGCTAGTTATTAAATCTTCTCCTTCAACTGATGCCACTTTCTAGATTTTTGATCATGTGTCCAGCTCCCATTGGATTTTGGAGCCGTAGTTTCTATAGCCAAAGTATTTCATGCCTTCTGTTTGGCTTTCCTGGGTTCCAGGTTTGGCAGTGTATGTAGGTAATGGTAATTATGTCTGCTTGAGACATTTCCATAATTGATTTATGGAATGTTCACACGGATGCCACATTCCGTATAGTTGTCAAACCTATATGACCACAGTGTTATTTTGAACTGTGCTAGTACAGGCCGTAATACAGGTAGGTAATGTGGTAATATTCCGACATTTTGCCTCTTATTAAAATCTGACAATGGAGAAAAGTGCAATTGTTCTGTCACACAGTTTGCCATTCTCCTCGCTGTTTACAAAACAGTCTGGATTCATTTTGATGGCAGAGTGTGATACGAATTTAGCAATTTGCATGATTTTTGCGCATGAAGCCATTTGGCTCAATACATTTTCTGCCCCGGATGTCACGAAGAGTCTGAAGTGGGGAATATGCATTGAATGCACAATTTTCACTCCAGTTTGCATTTAAAGGCTTTTATTTTTTCCCCATTTAATTATCCAAGTTTAAAGTTAGGACATTTCTTTATTTTTTAATTCAGGTTTCCAACATTTTGAGCCAATGATATCACTGTAGAAATCTGAATACACTAAAAAAAACTAAAACACTGCAAGGGGCCTTTTGCTTATAAATCAGAACGCATGGGAGGACTGAGTGAAGAGATTTTGTTGCCAGAGTTTAAACTTTAAACCGTGCACACTGATATATTGTTGATGTGTCTCAGTGAGTATAAGCTATCCAGTTTAAACAACTGATCACCGAAGAAGGAACAAAACCGGTTTTGTGCAACCTAAGCACTGGGGGGCATCATGGCAAAATGGAGTAAACTCTGGTATCTTAAAACATACAACAGAAAGTTACTACATGTGTAGGTAGACAAACACCCTATTCAACCAGAAATGCGTTCTTAGGGGGAAATTCTGTCCTATTCGCTTGCAGTAATTGTCCGATCTTGGTCTAAAAGCTTGCTGTACTTGAATATTTTTTGTTTTGTTTTATATAGCAGTAGCAGACATAGTAAAGCTGATATATTGTTAATCTGTTAACATTTGCCAGCATTTACCCCTGCAGCCCCGAATTATATAATTTTTCCTTTGATGAATCAGCTCTGAACTCTCCACCTTTTATCAGTCTTTGAAAATATTTTTCTTCTAACACCAAAAACTCATGCTCAATTACTACATGCAACTTTATACTAATATCTGTTT